TTAACTCTCACTGCAACAGCTTCTCACCCTTGGCAAACCCCAGAGCCTGCCAGTGGCCACTGCTCAACAGAGCAAGCACCAGGCAGCTGGCCCAGGCTCCGGGCTCTGCCGGCCCCAGGGAGGCAGGCTCCACGGCCAGCCTTTCATGTGGTTCAGAACCAGAGCTTCCCAATAAATCAGGAGCTAAACGTCTAACGCAATAAAACTAACCCCAACATAACCCAAACCTGATGGTTAAACAAAGGAAATTCTCAATAAAGAAAAGAGGGTTCCTGCTGCCTTTCACTGGGAAAGCCAGGGACTGTGGTGCTGGCCGACGGTGGCTCTGGTCACATGAGAGGGTCAACGAAGAAATGCCACATATGAACTGCCTTTAGGGCTGGACACACAGAAACTAGCTTCTAATTCAGAACCTTTTGTTCTGCCTGATGTCTCCTGTGCAGGGACAAGCCTCCATGCGGGGGCGCGCAAGGATCTCTGTGAGACATTCGGGGGAACGCAGACTGAAGTGGCCACGCCAGAAATAGAAGAGGTGCTAGATGGATCACACAGGTGAGGTCTCCACCTGCCCTTCCAGGAATGAAGTCCTAGAAGGGACCATGCTGAGAAGAGCCCGACACCCTTTACACTGCAGTGAAGGCAAAGAGTAAAAATTACTCTACTTTTTAAAGACTACTTGAAACTGCCTCAATTATTGGGACACATTACCTCCTTCCCCTGGGTGGCTTGCAGGAGCCCTACAATGGAATCCGGCTCCTTCTTAATCTACCTAAAGTCCTTCGACATGGTGTCCAACGGCAGAGCTCTTGCAAAACCAGAAGAGAGAACATGGGGGAAGACAGTGTCCTGTTTCCTAGTCAGTGTTGGGAGAAAGGCATTAGGTCAAAGCAGTGAAAACGTTTGCCAAAGTCCCAGAGCCCAGGGGTCCTCAAACTTTTTAAACAGGGGGCCAGTTCACTGTCCCTCAGACCGTTGGAGGGCCGGACTATAGTTTTTAAAAAAACTATGAACAAATTCCTATGCACACTGCACATATCTTATTTTGAAGTAAAAAAACAAAACGGGAACAAATACCATATTTGTATTTGCATGTGGCCCGCGGGCCATAGTTTGAGGACCCCTGCCATAGACTCACTGGGGACCAATCTGGGACCAACTCACAAAGGCAAATTAGCCAGAAAGATGAGTACAAGAGATCATCTAATGCTGTTGTGATCAGAATTTCAGTTTCCACTCCTACAAAATTAAAGTAACACCCCTAGCCCAGAGGCGTGGCTCAGTGGTTGAGCGTTGACCTATAAACCAGGAGGTCACGGTTGCATTCCTGGTCAGGGCATATGCCTGGTTGTGGGCTCAATCCCCAGTAGGGGGCATGCAGGAGGCAGCCTATCAATGATTCTCTCTCATTATTGATGTTTCTATCTCTCTCCCTCTCCCTTCCTCTCTGAAATCAATAAGAATATATTTTTAAAAATTCTAAAAAATAATCATCAACAAACAACAAGTGCTGGTGAGGATGCAGAGAAAAAGGAACCCTTGTACACTACTGGTGGGAATGCAGACTGGTGCAGCCACTATGAAAATCAGTAAGGAGGCCGAAACCGGTTTGGCTCAGTGGATAGAGCGTCGGCCTGCGGACTGAAAGGTCCCAGGTTCGATTCCGGTCAAGGGCATGTACCTGGGTTGCGGGCACATCCCCAGTAGGAGATGTGCAGGAGGCAGCTGATCGATGTTTCTCTCTCATCGATCTTTCTAACTCTCTATCTCTCTCCCTTCCTCTCTGTAAAAAATCAATAAAATATATTTAAAAAAAAAAAAAAAAAAATCAGTAAGGAGTTTCCTCAAAAAATAAAAATGGAACTGCCCTTTGACCCAGTAATCCCACTTCTAAGAATATAGCCCAAGAAAACAGAAACACACCAATCAGAAAAAATATATGCACCTCTATGTTCATAGCAACACAATTTACAATAGCTAAGATTGGGAAACAGCCTAAGTGCCCATCAGCAGATGAGTGGATTAAAAAACCGTGGTACATCTACACAATGGAATACTACGCTGTTGTAAAAAAGAAGGAACTCTTACCATTTGCAACAGCATGTATGTGTTAGGGGCAAAAATAGAATATTGGGGACTAGTTATGATTATGGGAAATATTAATCATGCTCTGTTAACCATGATTGTATTGGTTAAAGAAAGGACATTCTGACCTGGCTGGGAGTTGTACGCCCTCAGGACTTGGGAGTCAACCTTGGACCTGGGAGTCAACCTTGGAACTATAGGTATTCTCATTCAAGAACTGCCTATTACCTTAGAAAGATTAACAGCCTTGTTGTCCAGATAATGAAGTTCCACCCCAGCCTCCTACTTCCCCATGCCTGTAATCCCTACTTCCCCATATAATCCTTGTCTTACCCTAAATAAGCAGCTGGCCTATGGGGGGCTGGAGAGCAAATTTTTGTGGATGACCTGCAGCTCTCCCATACTGCCGGCAATAAAAGCTCATATATGATTCAACCCTGTCTCTGCTTAATTGGCTCAAGTAGTGGCAGGCAGCACGGGCCACTGGTTGTCCGGTTACAGATGGACCTGGAGAGCATTATGCTAAGTGAAATAAGCCAGTCAGAGAAAGATAAATAGCACATGATCTCACTCATTTGTGGAATATAATGAACAACATAATAAACTGATGAACAAAAATAGATCCAGAGACAGAGAAGCATGGAACAGACCGACAAACCTCAGAGGGAAGACAGGGAAGGATGGAAGGAGGGTTAAGAGACCAACCAAAGGACTTGAATGCATGCCTATAAGCATAACCAATGGACACAGACAGTAGGGAGGTGAGGGCATGTGCTGGGGGCGGGAGCAAGCGGGGAGAGGTCAATGGGAGAAGGAGACATATGTAACACTTTCAACAATAAAGAATTTAATTTTTAAAAAAAATAAAGTAACCCCCCCTATGTCCACTAGGAGCATTAAGTGAGATGGGTTTGTAAATAGCTTTGCAATGGGCCCAGTAGAGTGTTTGCCCAGGGAGGGGAGAAGTGTCTGTTCTAAGGTCGTGGGGAAAAGCAAAATAGTTTCATACTGAGTCCCATGGACTCTACAGAAGCCAATTGGGCTAAAACAGAATGTCATGTGTGGGGGTAGTGGGGGCGGGCAGACCGCCTCCAAACTTAATTCAAGGGAGATGACAGCTCCAGGCTGCACTCCAGGGGCACAGCTGCAAGTAGCAGGAGCCTCCCTTTCCATTCAGCCCAGGGAATTTAATTGTTCTTAATTATACAGCCACCACTCATATGCAAATAGTGCATGAAGGGTTTTCCTTTTAAATTGTAATGTTTCTTTCAGATTCTAGAGGCACTGAAGTGTTACTGCTGAAGATGTCACGGAAGAAAGCATGGCCCTGTGGTGGCTCAGGGTAGGGGAGAGGCCCCTCTCCACCCGCCCACTCTCCCTTTGTCCAGCCCTGCAGGCTGTTACTCTCCCACCGCCAGGCCTGCCCCAGACTGGCTCCCAGGTCTCCTTTTCAGCCTAGTTCTTCGCTAACACCTTCCCCGCTCTTTCCAGCGCTCTCCATCTCCAGACAAAGCGCAGTGTGAGTCGGGCAGCAGAAAGGAGAGGGAAAAGCAAGCATCAGCTGGCAGAGAGGCTGTGTTATCCCTTCAGTCCCTGCTGTTGGAGTCCCGATGAACGTGGACTCCAAAAGGAGAGCTTGCTGAGAAACACTGTTTGGAAGAGAATAATCGCAACATGAAAAAAGTGCTGGCAACAAGTCAGTAAAAGGAAACAAAGCTGCCATGTTCAACATGATTACAACCAAAAACCCTACCGAGGAAGATGAGAAGGTGATTAGCAGAATATTAAACGGGGCCGTGTTAGGATGGGTGGGATATGAGTGACATTCCCCTTCCCCCAGCTTTCCAAAATTGTTAAGTAGTTTGATACCTTTGAGAATATTCCAAATGTGTGGAGTTATGTTGCTGTTAGAAAACTCAAGGGCGATATAGGAAGATACATTCTTCTTAAATAGTTATTTCTTTGTGTGGATTCAAAGAACACATTTCCACATTTATAAGTTACTTAAAAGCTAACAAAAGTTTCAATTCTGAAACCACTTTCTTGTTCCTTTGCTCCACACTCCCTAACTCACTGGTTACTTCCTGTCTCTGTGGGCTTCTCCTTCCACCACCACCACCACCTCTTTACCAAGCCTTCCCTTCCCCCTCTACAATCACTCATTCCATGATCTGATCCAGTCTCCAGGCTCTAAACATCACCGGAGCTTACACCCGACCCAACTCTCTCTCCAGTCCCAGCACTCTGGGTGCCCACCCACAGGTTCACTGGAAAGTCTAAAAGACGTTTTTTTAAAAGTCTAAACCAAGCCCCCCCAGCGTGGCTCAGTAGTTGAGCATCAACCTATGAACCAGGAAGTCACAGTTCGATTCCCACTCAGGGCACGTGCCCGAGTTGCAGGCTCCCAGTCATCAATGATTCTCTCCCATCATTGATATTAGTCTCCTTCTCTCCCTTCCTCTCTGAAATCAATAAAAATATATGTATTTTTAAAGTCTAAACCAACACCCATGACTTACCTCAACCCACTCTATCCATAGCCATCATGACTCAGTTGTTGAAGCCAATAATTTTGGAATCAATCATCCTTGTCTGTTTTCTGCCTTACACCCCACATCAACCTACTGGAAATCTTGTGTGAGCTGTGCTTTCAAAACATACCCAGAACCTCACCACCTGCACCCTGGTCCAAGCACCAACATCTCTTTGAGTTCTTAACTATTGACTACAATAGCCTCAAGCGGTCTCCCTGCAGTCTAAGCTCAACACCAGCCAGGCAGCTTCTTAAATCCTAATTCAGATCCCTGCTCCGCTCCAAACCCCGTGATGACTCCCCATTTCCAAGGTCTCACATGAACTGAGCGCCACACTCTCCCCCGTGACCTCACCACCTTCAATTCCCTCTTTTTTTTTTTTTTTTTAATAAGGAATGTTTCACAAATTTGTGTGTCATCCTTGTGCAGGGGCCATGCTAATCTTCTCCGTATCATTCCAGTGCTGCCAAAGCAAGCACCAATTCCCTCCTTGATACCTGTCCTGCTCTCACCACTCTGTAAGCACTCCGGGCCAAAGTTCCCACTGTAAATCAAAACCTTCAGAATCTACAAATAACAGTTACACAAAAATAGAGGCAAGCTGAGGTGCGGCCTGCATCTGACCCTCAGCCTCACTTCTGCAGTTGCACCCCTATTTCAAGCATCAATGGGGTGCAGATGTGTACCCCACCCCCACATCTAGTCCCCTAGCTGGAAAGGGTGTGAATGTGCCCAATGTGGGGATAGAAGATCTGAAAGATGGAGAGAGAATCCCCAAATTCACTTACTTCTAAGGCCAACAACCCTCCTTCTTCCAGGTCATAAGAGCTAATAAATCCCTTTTAATGCTCAAGCTAAATAACTGTAATCAAAAAGGTCCCAACTGGTAGTTAGATGAACCCAGTAACTCAAATGTAATTCATGAAATCAAGTAACCTTTGGAATATTAAAATACATGTTATGACTCTATATAAAAACAAATGCTTTCTGAGAAAAAGGATGAACCTGCATCCTCACCAAAAAATAAAAAAGCAAGTGGGGTGGTCTGCATCTTTATAAAACCAATTGCTTCTTCTAGGAGAGACAGAAATGTTCTCAAATTAGATTGTGGTGATGGCTGCACAGCCCTGTGGGTATACTCACAACGCAGTGAACCACACACTTAAAATGAGTGAACTGTATGGTGTGTGAATTGTATCTCCATAAAGCTGTTGAAAAAAAACAAAAAGAACCAAAAGCAAGCACACATGCCAGCCTCCAACATCAAGCATTCATCAGGATTCAGCGTAGGAAAGGGAAGAGGAGGCGCTTTCTGCATCTTCTCATACATGTGCTCGTACTTCCTTCCTGTGCACACAGACGCCTCCTACACAGCGAAAATGCCGTATGCAGATGCCTCTGATTAGGGCCGGCCACATTTCCCATCATTATGCAGCCTAATTCCTGCCTATTATCCAAACGCAGACTCCTTCTGCCTAATTTCAGGCAGCCTGGCAGCTGCAGAGGGAGAACAGCTTGCCCTTCCGAGGAGGCCCATTTGACATAGAACCCCTGCTGCTAAGAGGACTCCAGTTCTCGACATGTCAATCACGTAGGCACAAGGAGACCTGGGAAGAACGGCGACTTCCTTCTTCATCTGTGAGCATGTTCCTTCCAAAGCCAGCATGGAAGATGAAGAGAAGGGCAGACTTCAAGACTAGTTTTGGTACTGGGGGGGCGGGGGTTTGGGGTAAGCGGAGGGAGGTGGTAAAGAATCAAATAAGAGCAGAGCAAGTGCTTACACAAGACTCGCTCTCTCCCCAGCTATCTCCATCTCCATATTAATCTTCATGATCTTTAAACCACCTGACCTCCAGAGCTCAGTGCACTCCCATACGACTCAATTACTCTGACTTTGCCCGTTCTCCAGATAATCTCTTGACCCCTCTTCAGAGGAGGCATTTCCCTATTTTAAATAGCTTTCCTTGTGGTTTTCCTTTAGCTATAAACAGAGATTTAAAAAAATACTAAAATACTGTAACTGTACTTGCTACAATGAGATAGGGTATTATATTGCAAAGGGCCATAGTTATTCAGTGAAATACTGTATATAAAGTGTTCGGTTAAGTTTTTAACTCTCATGACAAACAACTCAATTGTTATGCTGTATTCAGTGACACTTTCGAAATATATTTCTTTCCTCTAGTAATAACAAAACAGGGACATCCTGTACACCCTACACTAGAAAGACTGCCACATTCTGGCATCAGTTACAGAATTCATCACTTTAAATTCAAGAAAAGGTGAATCCCTAGCAGGGGAATCTTTAAAAATGTGTAGCTCCTAAACATTTCCTCCTCCCTTAAAAAAAAAAAAATCATCATGAGCACCAGCTCAGGGAGTCAAGAAATGTGGGCCACTGGTACCCAATTTGGTGCCTCTCAGAGATAACGAGGGGCAACCTTAAAAAACAAAACAAACTATATATATATATATATATATATATATATATATATATATATATATATATAGACACACACACACACACACACACACACACACACACACACACACACACCCTAGGACTCCACGAGCTCTTCCTGAATCAGAATATCTGGGGACAGAGCCTGCAAATATGGATTTGGGGAACAGCTCCCCCAAGGAACTCCACCGTCCCTGCTCCCATTAGGAAAGCAGGTGTGCATTTGGGATATCCACAGACCCATTTATCCATCTCTCTGCTGTTCATTCCAGGACCCTTCCAGGGACACCTCATTTCTAACACAGCTCATTTCCATTATAAAATTCCTCCGTCTCAGGGAGAGCCAGGTTGCAGGAAACAAGCTAGCTATTTTAAGCAGGAAGGGATGTTCACACAGGGAATTGATACTTAATGTGATTGTTGAAAGGTTTGAGGGAGCAGGCTCTATGCTGGGCCTCCAGGAAGGACTCCCAAACAACAGGGAACTGGCTCCCAAGGGTGCTGGTGCCTCTGTCATGGGGAAGGCGGGGCACCTCAGGAAGCTGCCCTGGGGCTACTGAATCAGGAACATCCTGCCAGCTGTGACCCCGGGACCTGGGAGCTGCCTCTGTCACCTTTCCTGGTCCTATGCCAATATGCTCTAAGCTGGATCCTGGGAAGAATCATTCACTTCCTGCTACACTTTGCGTTAATGAAATATGTTTCTGACGCTGCTTCACTGAAGAGCAGTCACCAGAACTGACTCCAGCATGATCGCCTACCCTGAACAGAGGACCTAAGGCCTCACTCACTGTCCAGCCGTCTCTAACACCCCAAGTCTCCCGCACCTACCTTCCTTCCTCTGGCCTTTTCCTCTCCATTGCCCCTTCCCGTGCAGACAACTGCTAATCCAGATCCCAGGACTCAGCCTGATGACATCTTTTGCATTTCTTCTTCTTTGATTCAGCTCATCATGCAGCCTGTCTAGTTTTGTTTGTTTGTTTGTTTTTTAATACGTATTTTTTTATTGATTTCAGAAAGGAAGGGAGAGGGAGAGAGAGATAGAAACTTCAATGATGAGAGAGAATCATGGATTAGCTGCCTCTTGCACACTCCCTACTGGGGATGGAGCCTGCAACCCAGGCATGTGCCCTTGACCGGGACCGAACGTGGGACCCTTCAGTCCGCAGGCTGAGGCTCTACCCACTGAGCCAAACAGGCTAAGGCCAGCCTGTCTAGTTTTGTGTGTGTGTTTGTTTGTTTGTGGTTTTTTGGTTTTTTTGTGGTTTGTTTGGGGGTTTTTTTGGGCTCCTGATTCTTATCATCCAATAAACTGGCTGTATGCCCCCAAATCCTATCATTCACCAAATGAATGACACTTGAACTAAGCGGATAGGATGACTACAAAATATACTAACACCACCTTCACTGGAAAATTCTAATAATCACATTATCAGCATGTGCCCAAATGCAACCAGCATTTTTTCACATACTAGTCTTTTCTGGACCATATGTCCAACTCAGCCTTTGGTGCTAAGAGCAAGTAAAAAACCCTGACCACAAGGACTTTATATTCTCAGACGAGCAACAGAGACTTAAGACAAAAGGACAACAGAGACAGCAAGAATTTTAGATGCTGCAAACAGACAATCTGACACCAACATGAACTAAGAGCTACTCAGATTTGAAATGATGAGAGCTGTCCTTTTTTTAAAGCATGTGTGAGGTCTCCTGAAAGGAACATATGGCAGCATCTTGTGTAACAGCCCACAGAGTCCATTTTTGCAACCAGATCTTACTTAATACAATACACTGTGTGACTTCAAATCATGGGCATATGTCAAATACGGAAAATCTCCCACAGCTACCTGGGCAGGGTGGGAAATGAAGGGAGATCTTTAAAGCAAATGAATCCGTTCCCCACACAAGGAGTCAGGCCAGAGAGTACACCTCAGGTGTGATACAAGTCGCACATGGGCCCCTGATTTCTGAATTTAATTTCTCCTCTGAGTAAACTATTTTTATTTCTAGATTTCACTTGATATCATATTTGTGCTGGCATTAAGACTCCCCCCACCCCGCCCCCTGCCTGAGGATTCCGCCTTCTCTTCTCATTGGTTTTTCACCGTTTTCAACCCACTCCCTCCAAATCAGCAGCATCTGTTTCTAAATAAGGTGTCCACACAGGCCTCTTACTTTACATATTCACTCTTAGTAAGTGGAAACACACACTTGGAGTTTCTCTTCACGTTATGCAGAAGGTGGAAGAGGCACCCACAGAAGCTTGCTAATTTGTTTTAAGTGGAAAATTTTTACTTTCATTTTTTTTTTTTTTTTGGTAAAAGGATTCCATCTCACCTACCACACTCACTTTAGAAGTATGCCTTAAATAGGAAACTCAAAATAACCAATCGTTTCTTTTACTACTGTAATGATAACCAAGTCTATATGGAACAAAACATTTCCACCATCTAGAGATGAAAGTCAAAAGTTCACGGACACTAGATGAAGTGTCATTTCCCCTAAGCACCGAGATAAAATTAATCACAAAATATCCTGGAAATCACCAGTGACCACGGAACAGAGGAGACCGATGAGGGGAACCTGGCACCCTCTGGACAGAGATCCCGCCTCCTGATTCCAGAGGGTATAATCCTTCCAGACCAGACTAAATAAATACCCAGCTGCCCTACAGAAAGGGAGCAAAACCTCAAAGCCTGGTGTGACCGACAACAGCAGATAAGAACCCACGGCTGGTTGTTTCAAAATCTCCTCTCTCTCTCTCTCTCTCTCTCTCTCTCTCTCTCTCTCTCTCTCTCTCACACACACACACACACACACACACACACTCTCTCCGAGGGAGGCCTGGCTCCCCACTATTTCCTTTTTTTTTTGTTTAATGCTCACCCGAGGATACGCTTTTATTAATTTGAGAGAGAGACAGACAGACAGACAGACAGACAGACAGAAACAAGTATGTGAGAAACATTGATTGGAAGCATCTCAATGTGTCACAACCTAGGTATGTGCCCTGACCAGGAATAGAACCTGCA